GATATCATGGCGGTGCTTTCTGTATCCATGCAGAGATTTCATCAGTTACTAATCCATCAGGGTTGACCCAACTTTCTCTATTTTTAGACAGGATACTGTTGAAGACCAGTTTTGGAATAATAACTTCCACTTGAGTAGTGAGAAACGTATAACAAAAATTCTTAAATTATAGCTCAAGGTGTCTAGAAAACTCTCCATTTTGATAGCATCTTCACCTAACAGGACTATATCATCTGTATATTCTAGATCTATCAAGGATTCTTCAGTGATTACATATCAAATGCAAATTGCTGCCCTAGGATTGGTCTTCAACGGTGCAATGGTTACAATCGAGAGTGAAGTGGTTGAGTGTGTCCACCACTTCACTTACTTGGGAAGTGAGATCACCCTGCCTAGATGGCTCAGTGGCCGGTGAAATCTCTGCACGGATACAAAAGGGTTGGCTGGCTTTTGCTAACTTACGCCACCTATGACGCCAACATCATATCTGATTATCTGTTAAGGGTCACGTGTAATGCACAACAGTCAGGTCTGTTCTATTGTATGGCTTTGAAACATGGCCATTGAAGGTGGAAGACCTGAGAAGGCTCTTCAGGTGTTTGACCACCGTTGCCTTCGTACTACACATAGGCCGTATTCTGTCGTGTCACCACGTGACTAACGCAGAAGTGAGGTGTGGAATTTTAGGGAGAACAGGTAAGTAAGGTGACACGGTTGTAAACCTTCATCGACTGAGATAACTGACTGCGACATGTGTTACGTATGCCTAACCAACGTCTGCCTCGTCACACAATGTTCGCCGAAGTAGGCTCACACTGTAAAAAAGCTGCAGGTGGCCAGATTAAAACGTCACATTAATGTATGAAGCGTTCGACTGTTGGTTTCAGCCAATGTAGGCGGATGGGGATACAGACTAGGTGCTTAGGCTCAGTGGGACAAGAGGGACCATTAGTGGTTGGCGACTGACTGTAGGTGATATGGCTCACAACCCACGTCAGTGGCGCAGATGCATCCCCACACACATTATCCTCATTTTAACGACGTTATACCGAATTTCTTCGTTTCTCTCTTTTCGTACTTTATATTTCCTCTGACTGGATTCTCCTATGTTCATCTTGCGCCTCACTGCCTTTTAACAGGATGTGCTGATATGAACTGTGGCAAATGGGGCCGTTATGCAGCAATGCCTGATCCTAGGTTGATCTGGATGGATGGATTAAATATCAGATGACAAGAGGAAGATCTCTATAAGGACATCAATGACAAAAATGAACGAGGAGGAGCATCGCAAACGGATATCTTGGCTAGTGTATATCATAGTCCACTGACAATTTGCTAAGCGTTACTTTAAGCTATTCGATTGAATGTTTTCCATTTGACAGGTGAATAGGATAAATTTTAGATTGATAGTGTTCCTGTTATTGTGAATAAATTAATAAATAAATAGACAAAAAGTGAATGAAGTTTCCCTAAAAAATAATTTATTATACTTTACAACTTTAATACATGATTTCTTTTCATTTCATAATTTCCTGTGTTGAATACACAGTTGAAAGAAGTCAATTCACTGAAAATTGTCACAAATAAAGATGGAAGTTGGGTGGTGAGAGTAGTGCGAGATGGGAGGGGGGAACGTGTATTAACTATAGCTGTTTAAAGCGATGGATTCTGTGAACGAATTACTCTGATTTCTTTTTATAATAACCGGTAAAATTATGATTAATGGTTGAAAAGACAGTTAATTAGTTAACAAATTGAAAAAATTGCATTTCTAATTTAGTTATACAATCAAAATAACTGGATAACTAATGGTTTGTAAGCGATACAACAGTTACTATTACCACTAGGAAAACTGCATACTTCATGACTGTGACTAACGGTTGAAGACTGTTGATGATATTCATCATCATCATTATCATCACCAAAAAAGGACCAGGCATTACTGCGTAATGGTCCAACTTGCTATACCTCATATCATTACATCAAGTGAAGAGGTAGTGAAGTGGAAGATGAAGAAACGAAAATTCAATCGAAAGAAATATGAAGTACTAAAAGAGAGAAAGGAAGAATGAGGAAAATGATGACATCTGTTCTCAGCCATATCACCTACAGTCAATCCCCAACCACCAGTCGTTCCTCTTGTCCCACCGACCTCAACCACCTAGTCTGCATCGGTCCCCCCACCCACCCAACATGGTTCAAACCAACAGTCAAACACTTCATACATTCATCCTATGTTTTAGTCTGGTCATCTCGGGCCTTTTTCCAGCGTGGACTTACTTCAGCCAACATTATGTGACAAGGCAACCAGCGACTAGGCATACGTAACATATATCTCAACCATCTCAGTCGATGAAGGTTCATAATCTCATCAACTGATTTACTTCTTCGCCCTAAAACTCTACACCTGCACCTACACCTGACTTCTGTGTTAGTCACGTGGTGACACCAGGGAATATGATCTATACTACGAAGGCAACGGTGGTCAAACACTTGAAGCCTTCTCAGGTCTTCCACATTCAATCCCCATATTTCACAGCCATACAGTGGAAGAGATCTGACTGTTGTGCAGTACACGCGACCCTTAATAGAACTATATCATGACGATAACAATAATAATAAAGTAGATGATGACATAGGTATTTGTGATTATGATAACAGTTGAAGTATGAATGATAGGAAAGTAGACTACGTAATACATAGAATGGTTCATACAAGATATACAACTCAAAACGGGGTGAAAATATTGATGAAAGTGGTTAATCAACTAAGTATTATGTAATAAAACTCGACAAGTTGGTCAAGATGAAATCAATGTTTTCTTAAAAGACATTAAAGACGACTAATACTGGGTAATCCCGCTATCAAAGATATATAAAGCGGGATTACATCTTCGTCTAATCTTGGATATGGCTAGTTCTCTTTACTACCGAAATGCTCAATGGTTAGCTGAAATTCTGGAAGGTAAGTGTCGAGGTTTTCTGTCCCTGATACACTTCAGCTTGTTGAGAGTATTAAGAAATTTTATGCTTTAAACAAGATAATGTTTTCACTCGACATTACTTCATTGTTCACAAGTGTGTCACTCACTGAGATTGTCTGTTATATATATGAATATATTCATGCACATAATTTAGACGTAGGACCGCCAACCGGCTGCTTGAAAGAGCTTCATTGAAGTGGACGTTCAATGTCCAATTTAATTCCAATAATGAAATCTATAGATAGAAAGACGGAATTATGATGGGGTCATCATTAAGACCATTATTGGCAGACTTTTTCATGTCTAAACTAGAGAATTCTCAATTTTGTCAAACCATTACTAGCATTTGACTATTACAGAAGATATATGGACGATACGAGAAGGAACTACCAAATCGGTTATCCACTCGATCTCAAAGAAAAGATTGTTCATGAGCCAAGAATTTAAATGTGACCCAGCATCGGATGTACTCAAGAATCTTTCAAGTTGTTATTCATTGTAGACTGATATCACTTGGAGGAACAAAGGAAACTTGGGAGCACTGAAAAGCTGTTTCGTCCGACTAGTATGGGACTCCTCAGCAGTGCGCACCCCGGACCCTACCCTGCCAGGGACCGGACCTGTGACCTTCAGGTCCCGCGGCCAGCGGGTTACCATTGGAGCTAGCCACTGGGTCAGGATCCAATGCTCCATATTTCCAACTTCTGTAGCGGGTTCGATCCCTGGCGGAGTGGGGTCGGGGGTGCGCAGTGCTGAGGGGTCTCATACTAGCCGGACGAAACAGTTGTCCAGTGTTCCCAGGTTTCCTTTGTTCCTCCAACTGATGTCAGTCTACGATGAATAACAACTTGAAATATTTCCAAATTTCCACAACTCCCTCAATATACTTAAGAATCGTCTGTGCAAATCAATGAATAGAAGTTTCTTCGTAGCAAAACTTCAATTGATCTTCACCAACCGTAAACTATTCTTCATTTGTGTTAAAGATAAGCTACAGTTCACCTGCTCTTGTGGATCAAGATACATCGACTGTAACCGGAGAATCCTTTCTACACGAATACGAGAACATGTTACACCTTCCTTTTATAAAGGTGAAAAAAAGTCTGTTAAAAGTTTTATTCTAGAACCTTTGATTGATTTCTATCACTCAATTAACCAAGAGAATGATTTTAAAATTGTTTATCGAATTCGCCCAAACCTCTCACATTCTCTTTGTTTTCAACTCTTTAAAACAGCTGAGGCTTTAGCTATTCGTGATCTGTGTGTACAAAAGAAGTATGTGTAATCACTGTGTTTTACCATGGTCATGACGTTTTCCCACCCTCATTACTTTCCCCTCTTCCTTTGTTAATTTAACCTTTGTATCCTTCCTTTATCACTATTATTGTTATTATAATTTACCTTCAATTTGATTAGTTTCCGGTGTTATTTCATTTAACTGTCTTAATCTTCTTTAGAAAATATTGATTTCATCGTGACCAACTAGTCTAGTGCTATTTCATAATACCTTAATTGGTAGTTGGGTAAAACTCACCTTAGTAATTGAAGCTGAAATAAAAATCTGGTCAGAAGTAGGACCTAGTAGCTCAGTTGGTAAAGCATCGGGCCAGAAATCCGATGGTTGCTGGTTCGAATCCGGCCGCAATCTAAATTCTCATTTCATTCTCAACTATTACCCAGTATAAATACTTATTTGAGTTACCAGTTTCATTAATTTTTTAACCCCCTTCTGAGTTGTACACCTTTTATCAACCATTCCATATATTACGCAGTCTACTCTGTTATCATTCATACTTCAATGGTTATCATAATCACAAATACCTATGTCATTATCCGCTCTATTATAAATGTCATCATGATGATCACACAGTATTTAGTTTTCTTCATAGGATATAACATCTTAAATATCATATATAAACGAATGTACACCTTGAAAATAAACTCATTGAAAAGAATCTCTTTGCTAAATATCTTCTTCATGTTACAATAGGAATATTTAAATTATAATCATACTTACCAAGTGTACAATTGCTAGCACAACTTGGCCACTTCCAGCATACACATGATTTTGAACTGTCTGTATTCAATACATAAGGTAAATTTGTCTTGTCTAAATGACTATTATCCATTGATGAATCGATATCTCTATTATCCTGTTCAATGAAATGAGAATAATATGGTTGCTTTTGTGATGATAATTGTATACTCTCAGTATTCGCATTATGAATGGTGTATTTGAAGTAAATGAGTACTCTCAAGAAGAAGAGTGCACAGTTAGTGGATTTGCAACAAGTGATTGGCATTTCAATGAAATCTAAAGTAAAAATTTGAAAAACAGTAAGGAAAACAAACCTTATAAACATAATATACTCAAGAAAAGTATATCTTAATAATAATAATAATAATAATAATAATAATAAATAACAAGAATAGAACTTGGGTATGATACGAAACGGTCTAAATACAATTCAACATTTTAAGTTTTTACGTCATTATATGGTTGGGAATAACCTGATTGGTCAATTTACTCCTACAGTTGACCAATCAGAATAAAGTACTTAACTTCTGACCTTATGGTTTTTTATGTTCACGATAACTATATATAAATTATGGTTTTGCCGAATAAAGTGTCTTCCTTACAATCAAAGGTCAGTCTTCACCTTCTGATTTTCGCGGCTCAGAGAAGTATAAAGTTCTGAAGGGAGAAAATTCATTATTCGTATCCAATCTAAGTAACTCATTGCGTTAATACTGTCTGCATATTTCTTATTGGTCACTTCAGAGTACTGTGGTAGAGTATAAACTCCATGATTATTATTTATGCTGGGTGGTAATTGTAGGTGAAGTGGGAATTTGGACCGCGGCCGGATTCGAAACAGCGACGATCGGGTTTCCGACCCGATGCTCTACCAACTGACCCACGAGGTCCGACTGACGACTACACTTTTATTTCACTTCAATCATCAAGGGTTTTGGCCGACTACCATATGAATGCGTGATGCGTTACTATCGCTTAATGGTACTCACACTGGCTGCCTAGTTAGAACTTCTCATTCCAATCGAAATCTAACTGAATAAGAATGAAAGAGGGAGCATCATATTGATTATTACTTTAACTATCCGAGATAGCTGTAGTTTGGCAGACTAGTATTTATACTGAGTGATGATTGAAGATGAAATGAAAATTTGGACCGCGGCGGGACTCGGACCAGAGACCACCGGGTTTCCGGCATAATGTTCTACCAACTGAGCTACATGGTCGGAGATCCGAGACCCTTGGTAATATAAGAATCTGGTCGACAGTCGGGTCTTGTAGCTCAGTCGGAAGAGTACCGGACCGGAAACCAGATATTCAATGGTTCAAATCCCGCTGCGGTCCAAATTTTCATTTCACCTTCAATCATCACACAGTATCAGGTAGTCAAAATGATCATGATTATTATTCTCATTATACAGTAGATTAACGCTTCTGAAAGATAAATAGGTATTTTTTTTATCGATAGAAGACAAAGTACACAGCAGGTAATCTAAAGATGCTTCTCTATCCAGGGAACTTATGACGTATAATACTGTCATTAGTGTCACAATTGTGCAGGATTTAAATGCAATCAAATCACTAATGTACAAAAAAAGTGACATTTTATTAGGTAGCGAAAACTAAATAATCATTCTGCACATATTTTTACATTCGGAACCAAAGTAACCATCTAAAAATGTTTGGCATTCAAGAAGCGATAATCTTAGACAAATCGAAGATATAAGAAAACTTAAGTATGTCAAACAGACAAACAAAATTAACCAGAACATAGTTCATAAATGGATTGGTTCAAGTTACCACATTTCATAATGATATACAGACAACAAGTGGATAGAAAAGGGATAATGTTAAGGTAAGCGAAAGTATATGAAAGGAGAGTGTGAATCGATTTTTAGCCATTTTACCAAGACTATCCTACCATTAACTTGTATCGTTTCAAGGACCACATTTGTGTAGTTTACACCTAACGCGACACATTTTGGTTTGACTACCCTTAGTGTTCATTTAAACCAATCATACTTCAGCTAATATCGCACGTAAAGGTAGGCAGTATCTCGGCACGCATCACACATCTCGATAAAGATTCACGACCTCATCGAATGACTCGTCTTACTTGCTTAGAACAGTACATCCGATCTTTGCAATGCTACGAAAGAACCTGTAGTGAAAAACCTTTTCCTATCGTTTCCTTCGAACGATCATGTCTCAGCCGTATAATTGGGTAGTGGTGAACTGTTGCATAGTATACTCACCCTTAAATATACAGTTAGATGTCTGCCGAACACCGAAAGTGATGTCAATCGGCGAGTGACAGGAACCTATTCAAGCTGATACAACTTCAAAATTATTGAAGTGGTCAACCATTGGAGCATAAGTGTTTATAAATGTCATTTCATCAAAATTAATACAGGATTGATACTCCCAGCTGACAATTTAACTCATGTAACTGACATCCACTTACTAGATCAATTCGGATTCAAATTCAAGAAGCGTATCTAGGCAGCATCGTTTCAGCTACAGGAGGCACAGACGACCACATCAAAGCCACCCAGTATCGGAAAAACACCAAGACAGGCTCTCATTAGCCTGAAACCAGTGTGGAGATCCGCACTCAGCATAAAGCGTCAACAACACCCGGATTTTCAACACCAATTCAGTCAAGTCACTTCTTCTATATGGTTCAGAAACTTGGCGCGTCACGAAAGGCATTTCCAACAAACTACACACACTCATCAACAACTGCCACATACGCTGGCTCGTCACTGAAGCTCAGATGGCCAGAATAATAAGAATAAACAACAAGGAACTGTGGTTGGCTAGCAAGGAACCAACCAAGAAACTATCGCTCAACAAATATGCACTAGGAGGAAATGGAGATGGATTGGGTATGCACTGAGAAGGCCAACTGGGGACATCACGCATCAGGGCAGGCCCTCGAGTGGGACCCAGATGGGAAGAGACGAGTTGGGCGTCCCAGCTGAGGGTGATATGGAGGAGATGATGTGAGGAAGAAATGAGAGCTTGTGGACAGTGGTGGAGCCAGGTTCAGAAGATTGTAGAGAACAGAGTGCACTGGAGACGTGCTACTGAAGCCCTATGTTCCACTAGGAACCCAAGGGACAAATAATAATAATAAAAATCGATTACTGGTAAGTTTCATTTGATGATATAAAGTGTTTAGTTGGTATGCTAAACAATCATTAAAAGCTTGAGATTTTAGAGAATGGAATTAACGTTGCATTCAGAGATCTAAGAATGTATTCATAGACAAACTTTGTCAGTTTGAGAATCCTACTGATCCAATCCAGCAGTCAATCAGATATTTTCAATATGAAATTTGGCATTACTGAATAACAGTTCAAGGTGTCACACTTCAGTTTATCACATCAGGATATATGGCAATAAGACAAGTAAGTGACAAATTTGTGGTATATTGGTTGAGATTAGGATACGATATGGATGGCTACTGATTTGCAATTACATCATATAAAATCTAAAACCATCGATTTCGGGTGCTATGAGTAATTCTACACTTCTATGCACGGCTCCAAGCAACAGTCATGTTTCATGTAATGATGTTACCTTTTAGTACTCTCACCTTCATTACAGACTGACATCAGTTAGAGAAACATTGGAAACATGAGAGCAATGGACAGCTGTTTCTTACCTCTTTCTATGCTTACTACGTTGAAGGTCCCAGATTCAATCCCTGATCGGGTGAGGTCATGAGTGCGCACTGCTGAGGAGTCCTATACTAGTCGGACGAAACATTTGCCCAGTGCTCCGAAGTTTATAAAGTCCTTTTAACTGACATCAGTCCATGATGAATACCAATCTGAAAGCAATTAAATCCCCACAAGCTTCTACATCCAAGTCAATTTAACCCAATAAATACCATTTCATGATTATGATATCGAATTGCCAGATCAAAGTAGCCAATCGGAATACGTTAAGTTGTTGGAACACAAAGATCTTGCTAACTTTGAGTGACACACCCTTGAAAAGTAAATTAATCAAGGTAATGCGAAAAAAAACTAGGGTGGAATAAGGTAACGGTACTTATACGTTTAAGCAGAGGTTGATAATTATTCATCGAATCAACGCCCAAAATATATGACAGGAATGATTCAACACATACATTTTATAAATATGAAGAATGCTATTATAAATGAAAACCTAAGAAGCGATAGAGATGATAGGAACCAAGTGTTAAAAGTTTTGCGATGATATTCATGTGATTACACACACTCAATTAAAACGAAAATCGGTTGTATACCCAATGATGGTCAATGGAAATCCACTCAACTATCTTGTGCACATTCGTGTAGTAGGCAATGAGCCACGACTATTATTTAAAAGTTAATGTCATACTACTTGCCTGCTCAAACCTCTATAGGTGGAGCAGGGTTCGAACCCGTGACCCAATGCCAATCGTTGTAGCTAATGTCTATTTATTTGCTGAAGAGAAACTGTTACATTGTTATTCAGTGTTAACATACCATACAAAATAACAACTTGTTATAGCATGAAAGGATACTAAGTTAACTTTTCCTCTAGTCTACTAATGAAGGCACATACTGTGAAATTCTTTTAATGATAAGTTAATTTTTATTAAGTTTATCATTAATTGAAGGTTGTTACATTCAAAAAAAAGAAAAAAAACGAGTATACATATCTTTCTTGTTTGTATTAATGTATCAATTAACTTTGTACTTGAAGTGAAAATGGTATGAAACAGTACAAGTGGAACTGATTACATCTAGTAATCCCATAAAGATAAATACAGGCAATAGGTAACCAATAAAATTTATACTAGGTGATGATTAAAGGTGAGAGATGAAAATCTGAACCGCAGCCGCATTCGAAACATCGACGATCGGGTTACCAGCCCCGTGCTCTACCAACTGACCTACGAGATCCGACTGACGATTACATTTTTATTTCACTCCAATCATTAGGGGTTTGCCCAACTACCATATGAATTCATGAAGCGTTATTATCGCTTGATTGTATTCACATTGGCTATCTAGTCAGGATTTCTCATTTCCAATCCAAATCAAACTGAATCAGAGAGGAGGAGGATGAGAAGTCTTGACTAGGCAACCAGTGTGAATACGATCAAGCGGCAGTAACGCATCACAGGGTAGTCAGGCAAAATCTTTGGTGATTGAAGTGAAGTAAAAATCCGATCAGTAGTCGGACCTCGTAGCCGGAAACCTGGTGCATCGCTGGCTCCGATCCGGCCGCGGTCCACGTTTTCATCTCACCTTCAATCA